CCTCGGAACCACTTTCCTCCCCGACTTCCTCCTCCTCGACTTCCTTCTCGTCGTCTGCCTCCTCCTCCTACTACTACTACTACTACTCCTCATCCGCTTCCTCCTCCTTGACTCCCTCGTCACAGGGATCGGGAACCAGTTGTTTCGGGAAAAAAAAAATTCAGTCATTTCATTCGTTTGTGTGGGAAAAGGCAGCACCGTTGGCGACCACTAAGCCATGTCATTCCATTCGTCAGTGGCCGCTGTTGGCGACCACTAAGCCCTGTCATTGTGTGTCGTTTCATTCGTGTGTGTGTGTGCGTGTGCGTGTGTGTGTGTGTGTGTGTGTGTGTGTGTGTGTGTGAGTTTGTGTGTGTGTTGTGTTTGCTATACGTAACTCCCCAAAAACACATGTGCAGTCTCCTGGAACTCTCCCCAACCCATCACGAGGTCGAACCTCAATAGTGTGCTCAGGATGCATTCGACTGATAGATAAGGACTTGTCCACACCAACCCTGCAATCCTCTCTCTGTCTTTTTTCCTGACGCATATCGGATAGAGGGATTGATGGGTCGATGGATCGGGAGAGCCTTCGTTCTCACTCTCTCACTGTCACTTTTTTGTTTTTTTGTTTTTTTTTGTGTCGTCATATTCGTTATCCATTAAAAAAAAAAGATGACTGTGGCGGACTCTTTCGTTGGACTTTCACTGAATGCTCAGGAGGTTGTGTGTGCGTGTGTGGGAGAGAGAGAGACAATTGCACGCGGGCAGGCGCTCAGCAGACTCTCTCTCTCTCTCTCTCTCTCTCTCTCTCTCTCTCTCTCTCTCTCTCTCTCTCTCTCTCTCTCTCTCATGTCGATGGTCCGGCGTCCCCATAGGGACGTTTTGCATGCGGGTAGGCGCTCAGCAGAAGTGAACAGCAGATGTTGCGTGTATGTGATCAACTGCAGGTACGTGATCAACATATGTTGAATGTATGCCGTGTGTTTGCCTTTTCTCTCTCTCTCTCTCTCTCTCTCTCTCTCTCTCTCTCTCTCTCTCTCTCTCTCTCTCTCTCTC